CTGTCCTGCATCTGGCCAGCCTCTCAGCAGGACCCTCTCTGTCCAGTCTGTCCCATTAAGAGTATCAAGTAGTAATTCTGCCTGTGTATTGAGAAAAGTCCTAACCAAGTTAGTGTAAGTGGAGTACTTAGGACATACCATCAGATAAGAGACTAGAAAATAGTAGGGTCATTCATTGTATTTACCTTTCTACAAATTCAATTCTTCAGTTTCTCTACCTTTCATGAAGTCTGTCTATTGTTAATTGTGTACCAGATGTGGATTATGCTGACTGTGATGTATTGATTGAGATTGCCTTGCTTTCTGTGCTTACAGGTGTGTATATAAGCTCACCCAGCACAGAAGAACCTGACTCAGCAGTCCTTTTGTTGGCCGTCTGAGTATAGACGTCTTAGGGACATGAATTTTTGAGTTCAGGTAGATGGAAATTATTTACTCTGGAGATGTCTGTCCTTGAATTTGTGGCAATTACGTTCAAAGTCAGATCCCTACATGTGCATTTGTTGAGAATTGCTGGATAAGAAGTTGAGCTCCTTAGCTATGAACTGAAGATGGTATTATGTCTCTTATATAACTGTATCCACAGCCTACACCCCACATTGCATGAGGCACATGTTTCTGTGTAGAATTCTGGTCCTCTTGACTGCCTGGCAGACTCTGTTGTTCCCTCTGTGGAAATCTTTCCTGACTGTCATGTGCATAGGCTTCAGTGTACCCCACATCTCCCAACACAGACACCACAAGCACTTATCCTTCCCTAGGGTTTTTAAAATAGTCACTTTAGTTCTTATTTTGTAGGAAGGTTCATCGTGAGTGGCCTCTCTCACCATGCTGTTGAACATTGCTGTGTCCCAGGCACTCCACTTAGCTTTCTTGCTTAGGACTCTTCCTTGGCTCACCACTCACTACCTGCACTCACTGCACTGTTTCCTTCCAGCTCTGAGGTCATTAACACCTTGTGGAGCCTCTGTCCCCTGGACCTTTTTCCCCTTTGTAGGACCAGATACAAAGTGGCAGTTGGGGTCAGAGAGGAAGCTCTTCTAGGCTCTTTACCAGTGTTTTCCAGCCAGCACTCAAGGCTGCAATGCTTTGACATAGTAGAAGATGTGTGCTAGCCTCGGTAGAGGAAACAGTACTCAGAATTCTGATGAACTCTGAAGAAATAAATACATTCCACAACACTTTTTTTTTAGCCATAGTTTTGAAATTTCAAACGACATTAAGGGGGGGGGGCCCTGGAGATTTTTTTTATTTTCAAATTAAAAAATGAAATTCCCCATGGATAGAAGCTATGTTTTTGTTTGTTTTAAGACAAGTGTTTCAAATGGCTAAGAATAACATTAATAGGTTCTGTGTAAATGCTTAGAACATTTCACAAGTGTTTAATGTTTATTGCCCAACAGTGTTACAGAAACATTACCACTCCTATAACAGCCTCAACACAGAGTATCGGATGGGAAAAGTCTTCAGTGAGTCGTTTTTAATATCAAGGACTAGGAATTCAGCAGTGAATTTGAGCATAGAGCATGGTGTGATTTTCTGCAGAATGACAACATCTTTTCCATGGCCCTGCTGCTCCAGAACATATCCGCAGTGTCACTGCAGTTAGTCCTGGCCTGGTGGCCATAAGAAAGGCTGCACTTCTAGAGGCCTCCTAGACTGAGGGGCAGATCTCAGAGTCAGACCAGCGAACAGTCCTGCCCTTGATCGCACTCAAGGACCTGCAGTGGTCACCTCATTAATTAAGCCCACAGTTGTTTTTGAAGGAATCTTTTCATGCACGTTTGATCAGTGCTCTGAGGATGAGACTGAAGGGAATATATTTGAGAATGGAGTGTCTGCAGTTTGTAACTTGTAATTCAAATTCACCTTTGTAAGAAGAACTTCCCACTGTGTTCCAGCACTGCCCTCAGCAAAGGCCCACTGTCTCCATGTCTGCAGTGTCTGCTCTGGAAGGAACCAGACTTTAACTCGCCTACCTTCATAGGCTGAGGTTTTTTTATACTATGAGCCAGCATGGATTGGCAGTTCATGGACTCATTGAGAACACATTTCACTTGGCGCTCAGGACTGGAGATGTCATTATTTAGAGGGGAAATAGAAAACATCAGCTTGTGCTCCAAAAGCAGATACTATTTTTGTGAGGCTTTCTTCCCATTGTTTTGAGTATGTATATGAATCTACACAGTGAAATACATTGTAAAGTATATTCTTAGCTGTGGGCAAGTTCCAGACAGCCAGGAATACACAGAGAAAATCCTGTCTCAAAAAACAGCAAACAAACAAACAAATCACTGCTGGTTTTGTGGTAGTCACAGCATTGCATTGTTTTGAAAATGAAGTGATTGTCCAAGGAAGGCAGGAGACCTTTGTGTCTCAGAAAAAAGCTGCATACATCACTGGTGTCCTTCACTTTATACTTTGTCTGCTAGAGAAGGAACTCATTCACAGATACTTAAAAATGGCTAAGTAAGTTATAGTTAGTGTAGAAAAGAAATACAAATGACCTGCCTTCCCAAGATACCACACAAAGATTTGAAAGCACACATTATTTCTGTTGATGTGTTCTCAAAGCTTTTCATTTGTCACATAGTTTGAAGCTAGCAGCCAGTCTAAATGTGTGATTCATTAAATTCTTGGATTTTCTAAAGACAGTAAACAGATTACATGATAAGTTAGTGAAAAGAACGGCCAGCCTAACCCATAAGACTAGTAAGAATAGTGGAAGTACTCTGCTTGAATTGCTTGAAGAAGCAGAAACAGGAAGGACATTTGGTTTAACTGGACAGACTTGTTAGTTCCCTTCCTGATGCACTTCCCTGGGCCAACTTTCAGCCTTCACATCCATGGCTTCCTAATGTGTCAAGCAGAGATGACCATTTCCTTAAGAGCTGATAGAAGCATTACGTGCCGAATACTTACACCTGCCCCTTGCCTGGAACGCTGCAGACATTGGCAGGGGGCCAGAGCATCCTGAGTCAGTGTGTCCATGAAGTGGATGATGGACAGTGATATCCTGCACAGGGCTAGGCTCACACTCCACTCATCTCTCTAATTCTTTCCGTTCGTAAGGAATTTAGAAGAGTGCTCTTTAGGAGAAAATGTGATGCCACAGTGGCAAGGACTGTCCTCTTCCCACATCTCCAAACTGAGGGACTCTCCTCTTGCTTTTTCTTTGCATTTTGTACTCTCACATTTGTGAATATTTACCCTCACTCAGCTAAAATGGTTTTAAATTGCAGTCACATGCCCTCCTCTGTCTTAGTCATGAGATCTTTTACCAGCTCCAGTGGTCCAGTTATAGGGCCTACACAGTATAAGAGGGATATTACTCATCCACTGGGCTTAAGGCATAGACTTGCATTGTGAAAGGAAGGTCTTTAGACTTCTGCTCCTGCTGCACACCATGCAGGATACTAACACAAAACCTGCTGAGCTGAGGAGGAGTTTTATTCTTCCCATCTTTACTGTCTTGCTAGCTCCTCATGGCCCTGAAGGCTTTCTTTCTCCCTACCCCCTAGGCCTGGCCTAACATAAACACATGAGGAGACAGGCATTGCTCTTCTTAGTGTTTTGTGTTCTTGTGTAGACATACCCAAGACTCTTCAGACAGAAAGGGTTTCTCAAGAGCAGGAGAGTCATAAGTAAGGACTGCTGCTCAGTCTTTAGTACTCCTCTGCATACCTGAAAACCAGCCCTGCACACCAACAGTAGCATCTGGGTGACTCATGAAGGGGGAGGACCTAAAACTGTAGTCTTCCACATGGCTTAGATTAGCATTCTGCTCTCATTGTTGTTCACGATTCTAGACTGTTGAAAACAACTGTATGTTCAGATTAAGAAATCTGGCTTATAGATAAGATATTTATTTCTTAGATTTTGTCAGAAATTAATAAAATACAGGCTTTTGCTTAAATACGTATGCATATGTTGACTGAGACTACCATAACCAAGTATTGTACATTGTACAGTTTAAGCAACAGGAATGCAGTACGGGGAAGCCTGACATGTAAGAGGCAGTAGAGTTTCTTCTTGGTTTGTGGATAGGCTCCTTTTCCAAAGGTTCTCCTCTGGTCATTCCTATGGGTGTCCATAAGAGCACCAGTCTGGGCTGGAGAGCTAGCTAAGCCATTGAAGGCAAGGCTCACAGCTGCCATCTCCAGGGTAGCAGTCATGTTGGATCACGACCTAGCCTAATAACCTTTTCACCTAAATCACCTCTTTAAAGACCCCATGTCCTGGAAGTTAGAGCTTTCTCATGAGTTTTGAGAAACTTCTGCTTGTAGCAGGGTGAATTTGGATAGTACATACAGGCAGGGCAGTTTATTGCCTCCAGTTATGCAGGGTACTGTAGTGAGAGCATATCCATCAGACATGTTTGTATGTCAGGCGTACAGGTAGTCACCACGTTTGAGCAGCGGAGTTTAATAAACTAGGTCCAGTTACATCAAGCTAAGAAAGACTTTACTTCCTTTTAGGAAGTATCCTGCTAAATTTAGTGGGGGTGGGAGTATAAATCCATAAGAAACGGGATGGGTTAAAAATAATAATTATTTCTGCAGTTAATCAGAATAGGGCTTTCCAAATATAGCAGCTATCCATGCTTGCAAAAGTATATTAAACTTAGTAACCAGTTTACAAAAACTGTTCAAATTAAAACTACCTCTATCTTTCTGATGAACAGGACATAGAAGAATAAGGTTAAAGGTAGTAAGCTCATCTGAAAGACTTTACTTAGTTTCTCTAATGTTTTAAGGAGTACTAGAAAGTCATGTCATTGAGTCCAAGCAACTCTCTTTTGAGTAGTTAGTTGGCTTCTGTGGATGGTAAACCGAAAACTCTGGCAAGAGTAATGAGAGCCTAACATTGTGCTGTTTCTTAAACCAAGTAATCGGGAATTAATTTCTCGTAAGTTTAGAAATCCTGAATGTTTGAATTTTGGTCTACAACTATTTAAAGAATATTTCTCTTTTTTTCCCTTCTCTCCTTTGTCAACGTAGCTCATGTTTTTTGGAATCTTCCTGTGCCTCGATGCCTTTCTGTATGTGTTCACCCTGCTTCCTTTAAGAGTCTTCCTGGCGCTGTTCAGGCTCTTCACTCTGCCTTGCTATGGCCTGCGGTAAGTTTAGATCTTTGGCTGTTTTTAGTGTCTAAACAATTAATTTGCTTTATAATTTGTAGGGTTCTTAGAACAAAGATGATTCATGTAGTTTCAATCACTGGTCTTTAAACACTGCTTATCTGTTCAATTTATATTAGATAATGTTACACATTTTATATATGCATTGTTTTCCAGAGAGATTTTGGGCCAAACCTTTGCTTAGCCAGTAAACTGATACTGATGTGGAAGGCTGTGTGGGCGAGTAGGAGAGAAACAGGACTAAAAGTAGAAACTGACTGGCCATGTTCTTAACCCACCTGTATGTGGATTATGAGGTCTTCTGGGCCTCATCTATGAAAGATCCAGGTTCTAGGCTGGGCAGGTGGATATCTGAGTCCCCTAAGTAGCCCTCACCACAGGCTTCTTCCTCTAGTTCCCTTGAAAATCACTGTTGGTGACCTGTGAATCCTTCATCACAAACTTCCAGCTCACGGCAGTAGAGAGCTATAAAGGCACCATTCTGATAGGAAGACAAGTCAGCCCAAACCTTGGATGGCGTGCCTGCTTCCCCTAAGCTTGTCTCTCAGCTGTCAGAAGAGGACATTGAGAGCTCAGTACCAGTTCCCAGAAACCTGGAGATATAAAAAGCATGCCAGCAGGGTGCCTGCCTACAGCACCCAGGAATAAATACCAGTTCCTTTCACTTCCGCTCTACCAATCAGAAAGGTGGGGTGTTAAGCCTATGTGGAGCTGTGTGCTTTTGTTCTTCAGGGGAGTAGGAAGTCTGGTTTTCAAGTTTCCTTCTAGACAGTCATGTCGGCATGCCTCCGCTCCATGTTGTCACCTTCACCTGTGCTACTTGGCTCCAGCACAGTTGAGTTACAACTCTAACAAGGGTCACTTTTATAATTTTTTTTTAAAAAAAACATTTTTTTCTGTTTGAAATTTTAAAATGATAAAATGAATAGTAATTTGTGAAACTCCATTTAATTATGGTGAATATTTGATGGAACATAACATTTGGAATTATGGTTTTACCACCAAAGTTGAATTAAAAAAATTACTAGTACGTATTCAAAATTGTAAATTTTTTAAAAAGACTAAAGTCACAAAGGCGTTTCTTTGGAAGTAGAAAATGAGCCTATACTTAGTAATACTAGTAAATACAGTCCTCTTAAAGGGGCCTCAGTACATTTGAGGATGAAGAAGTGCTTCTAATGTAAATAGAAATAAAATAATGATCAGGTTGTGGAAGGAATAAAATTACTCTTAGCAAAATTGCAGAGAATAAAACAATTGTAAGAGTTCAGCTTACATCAGTGTAATAGGAGTTAGTATTTTGTATCTGTAATCTTTCTCAGCTTCCAGAATGATATGAATTATGCCACATGTTTTATTAGTCATAAGTTAACCAGATGGGGAGAGGAGCTTAGGATCTATCATGTATTTCTTTTGACTTTAAGGAGAGTTTTCCAGAGGCATGATGATGTCATTATCATTAGTAAGCATTTAGGGACCTCTGCGGCCAGGTCCTTTACTTCTCACAGCCTCACCTTCATGTGCTGCTTTCTGTATTGAGAGCTTGCTGGGTCTTGGCATTTTAGCTCCCTTTTCACAAGCCAAAAGAAGAAAATCAATAAAATGCTACCAGTTGTAAATCTTCATGTGTGGCTGCCTAAAGAGGGAGGTACAGGGATGTTAGATTAATCCAATGCAGCAACCTGACATAAATTAACTAAGGTCTTGCAGGGGTTTCCCATGTGCGTTGTGAGTGAGATCACTTCTTCGTTATTCCTTTATCAGCAGTGTTTAATAGGTTCATGTTCTATCCGTGGCATGCTCTGATCAGCTGTTGGCATTCTTGGGTGAAACGACCTAGAGACTCTTTCTTCTGGATTGGCTCATCCCTTTGTATGTGGGTAGCGTGTGGGTGACATATGCTGCCTGATGATGGCATGTCAGGTTCTCAAGATTCTCTTGAGGGTCAAATTCATCATCTTATTTGAAGATACTTATTCTTGAGGCATCTAATACTGTTGTATGCTCAAAATCATTTCTGTGTTTCTCTGGTAGTTGGGGAAGCAGAACATGTAAGTAGCATCTAGCATAGTCTTTCTGTTCCGGATATTAAGAGGTATTGCAGAAAATAGGAATCTTAAGTCATCTACTCCAGTTTGCTTCAGGTAAATAATTGATGCTTCCTGTAGTCGACCCTTTTATAATAGTGTAAGGGTTTTTTTTATTTTGTTTTATTTTTTTAGCACATAACAATGATTGCTTTAACAGATTAGTTTGAAGCATTTTTCTGTCAAAATTAACTTTAGTCACATTTGAGTAGTGCCTTCTATTTCCATGGTTTTGTAACTAAGAGGACTGTAGGGGGCAGCCTAGTATAAACAACTTGTAATACTCTGTCTGCAGTGTAGGTTAACTGAAGAGTTACATTTCATGCTGTCACTCATATTTAAATAATAATTGAAACCCAAGAATACAGTTAAAATTGTATTGAAGAATTTCAACCACCTTGAAACATCTATATGAGCAGACAAGATTACAGAAAATACGAAGTATTGCTTTAATGCCTTACTTAGTACCTTCAATATTGTTTAAGTTAAGCAATGTGTGTTTAGAATAATGTGAGCCACAGTTTATTTTCTCTGAACAGTGAAAACAAAGTCTGTAGATTGTTTGAAGCATGGAAATATATTAGACTGTGAAAAGTGACTCTCAACAAAACTACTGCTAACATTATGCTTACAGCCTTTCGGGTATTTCTGGAAGACCGAAATACATTTGATTTTTACAGAATTATTCTTAAATAGCCAAATTCTTCTATCTTATAACTTCCCTTTCAATGTTCTCTACTTCTATTAAAGATTATTTGATTGTTTTGCCTATCGCTGTTTCATGTTCCGTCTTTTTCAGCAAAGTGCTCTCTCCTCCAGTCTGACTCGAACCTGCAAAGCTGACTGTGTGCTTCTTCCCAGCTGCTCTCATCCTCACCTCTTCTGTTTCAAAAAAAAAATTTATTCAATAAAAATCTTCCTAGTCTCTTTGTTATTTTTTTTTCTAAAAATAGAAGAAAAGTGTGCTTGTTAATTAAGCCCGACATGGAAACAGTAAACTGTAGCGGGGCAGAGACTCGGCAGCAGCAGAGTTGCCCTTTGTCATCCATCGTTGTTCTGAGTGAGCCTTTCCTCCTCTGCCTGAAGGTCTCTCTGGTCAACATCTGTGAAAGGCTTTTTAAAGCGAGCAATGGCCCTGACCCAGAGTGTCTGCTTTGAGCCTGTTCTTAGATCTTCTGCTATCTTGATGTGGTTTTGGCTTTGGTTTGAGGTTTGGGTTTTTGTTGCCATTGATAACAATGGACTGAACAGAGACATTGCCTTAGCCAAGAGTGAGAGGCAGCAAGATTTTGTAGCCTATTCAGTAACTCAGCTTCATTTTGACTTCCTGGTCAGCAAACCATATTGACAAGTCTCAACCAGCTAAAATTGTGTTTGTTGGGGGATGTTGTCAGGATATAATTGTGAGTCTACACTGGGGTGTGCTGCTGGTAAAGGATGCTTCACTGCTCCTGCAGAAAGCGGATACCACTCTCGGGGATCTTAGAAAGACTTGGCTGCATCTGTTTCTGATGAATTAACAGTCTTAGCCCCTGCTCCCCAATATTTAATGAGAGAGAGAGGGAGAGAGAGCGATGCATCTAGGATCATGAGAAGCAGGTTCTTTCCTTTCCTAGATAGGATAAGATAGTTCATTTTACAGAAGATTTTGATACTGAAGACATAGGAACAGAATTGGGTTATGATAATTATATGAGTTATCGGGGTGTTTCAAATATCATCTCTCTAAATTTAACATATTCCAAGTTTGTGAAATATGTTAAAAATACCAATTATATGGGTAATTTAAGTAGTGAATCATTGTGAATACTGTCTCTTCCTAAAATTGCCATTATTTTGTGCTTTAGAATTCTGTCACACTTAGTTAAATGTTGAATGAGATTGCAGAGGAAAATGGTAAGATCTCGGCCCAGAGCCTACAGCTTTTAGTAAGAAAGCCCTGCTGAACATTACAGTGCTAAGTGCTAGATTTAAGAATACGGGGGTGTTTTTCTTCTATAATTAGAGTAAATAAAATTCAGACAAACAGATTTTCTGGTCCCTTGTCTTGGTTTTAGACATGACTCTTACTGAAGGCTTCACTGCCTTTTTTTTTCTTCTTGTTTTAGGAAAGGAGAGTATCTTTTCTTTTGAGTGCTGACCCCATAGGAGAGTTCTTAATTCCCAAAAGAACTATGGATTTCAAGTTCTTGAGTTTCTTCACCTGTTGGCTTTCTTCCATGTGCCTTAACCTCATTCAATATAGTTATGCTCACATTAGCACTTTATGTGCAGTATAAATAGGCTTTCTCTTACCATACAAAATTAAGCCTTTGAATCTGGCCTGAATAACTAATGCCACCACAAGAGCATGTATGGAGAGCTCTTAGTATCTTTGTTGGGGAAACAAGTACGTCCATTATTTCTTCTTGCCAGGCTGATGGTGTGCTGCACCAGTGGACAGCATTCTACTGTTACATAGAAAGCCCTCATAGCATCAGGTTTTGTTGCCCCATGTTCCTCAGCATGACGCTCTAAGTAGCGTAGCAACATTACAACCTTCTCTCTTTCTTTCTCTCTTGTAAATCAGACCGAAGGGAGGAGCACTTTCACTTCCTTTATAGGATGGAGTGTGGTGGCACAGGGACTCCTTGTGGTGAGTAAACCCTGATTTTTCCTTCTATACTCTTGGCCAAATTGACCTCCATACAAAAGCAAGAGCGCCAGCATAGGCCACATAACCACTAGAGGATGGAAGCACGGAGGAACTGGATTCCCTGTACTTTACTCGCATCCTCACTTGGTCTTAAGCTTTATCCAGTTTATCCCACAATGTTTGACCACACCATCACCCCTGACAATCACCTGTGAAGTAATCTCTAATGATTTGTTTGGGTCTTTGTGGCAGCAAACACCCCAATCCTTGCCCCAGGACACAACCCAGCTGCTTGTTCCTAGAAGCACTTTTTACTGTTATTCCAAACACAAACAGCTTCATAAATCAGCCACTTCATTCTAATATAACTAATTTAAGGTAGAAGAAAAGCTGTTAGCCATCAGGTGTAAACTGCTAAGAGATTATTTAGTTACTGTGTGTCAGTCAAACTTGAAAAACTGTTTAGTTTCCCAGGTCAGGAAAAGCATCTTGTTCTTAGTACTGTATTCTAGTCTACTTTAGGATTATAAAGGGACTTCTCCTAACAATGTGAACATGTGGAATACATGGGTTCTAAGTCTCGGTAGTACTTGTCCTTCTCCCCTCTTGAGTTGCACACGTAGTTTACAGTGAGATAAGTCATGCTGACACTGGGCGTGTGTCCATGGCTTGAAATTAACTGAGCAGCAGGGCTCTGGTGCCTCAGCTTGTGGTTGCCTCTTCCTTCTTGATCTTGCTAGTATCAGTTTCACTTTCCCAGTAGAGTATCAAGGGTGGGGCTGCCTCCCAGTGAGCATCGTTCTCCAAGTAATTCTACTTCCGTGGATCTATGAGACTTTAAACGGCTCAGAGATGTATAATGTATAGAGTAAAATGTATAACAAGAAACTGCCATTTGTAATAACTGCAAAGTATAGTAGAAGTATTTGTAGGAATTAAAAGGTGAAATTTAGGGATGCAGAGAATCTTTCAGTATGGGGTTTTTTTTTGAGACTGTATGGGTTTTTTAACTTGAATATCCTTTAAATTGTGTTAAATATCGTATTTTTATTTTAAGTTCTATTGAATATCTTATTTAGTTAAGCTTGTCATCCCATGGCTTGTAATCAAACCATAATCCTAAACTATATTAGATTAGTGTGGGTTTTTTTTGGATTTTTTTTTTATTTTTTTATTTTGTCCAGCATGCTCTTGAGATTTCCAGCATTTGCAAAAGGAGCTGACCACAGCTGCTCTTCAACAGCCATTGGAACTACAATCTCAGCCTGAAAGGTTGTTCAGGTGTCCGTTCCAGGTTGATTGGCAGCATTATAGATAAGCTTCTTACGGCGTTGATAATGCTAACTGGTAGTCATCTAAAAATATCCTGGCAGAGAGGAGCAAATGCTGTGTTTGGTTCAAGTTACTTTAATCAGATAAACTCATTTGTGAGGTTAGATCTCAGAGAAGTGTGGTGCATGCAGGTATCTTGTAAGATGCCACTTGAGAAGTGAGTTTGTTGTTTTCTCTTTGCTACTTTCCTTTTTTATTAACAGCAGGTGTGGAAGAAGAGCCTCGTTTACAGGGCTGTGAATCATGTTTTGTGCTGTATTTGAATAGTAGTCCTTAATTTTGACCTCTAGTCACCATAGCAGCCAGTTAAGATGTTATTAGTCGAAGAGTTCACCAGAGCAGACAGTGACAGACAGCTGAGGAACCAGAGTAGTGTATATTGTCCTGTTTATAGTGTGTTTTAGAAATTAATAAAATGAGACGTATGCTTGTGTCTTAATGCAGTAACTTTTCCAAATGATAAATTTTATAACATTAAGTTTGCTGACAAGTACAAAACAGTAAATTGCTGACTTGTATCAGTTTGGAGGTTCAGTTTTTAAAATTATTTATTTATTTTGTATGCAGTGTTCTGCCTGTATATATGACTGCAGGTCAGAAGAGAATACCAGATCTCATAGATGGTTATGAGCTACCATGTGGTTGCTTGGAATTGAATTCAGGACCTTTGGAAGATGAGGTAGTGCTCTTAACCTCGGAGCCATCTCTTCCAGCCCCTAGAGGTTCATTTTTAAAGTGTTGAAAGTCAGTGGTTGTTAGAGCCATACCTGCATTGATGCCTCTCAGTGTCTTTCCTGGATGTTAGTGGGACAACAAGCACCCTAGCCCAGGAATGCAGACTGTTCAGCATGTCTCCTCCTGATATTTGAACTTGAAATGTATTTGCTTTTGACAGAAGAATCCCTGCCCCCCAGTCCTAGCCTCGTGTGGAGTGGGGCATGAAATCTCTGGTATTATCACTTAGCCCTTGGTAGAGAGTGTGCTCTAAATTGGGTGTGTGGGAAGTGGAAGATAAAATGTACCTTGCTTTCCATGAGAGTGAGCCAGGGATTTCTGTGGGAGGGAGGGGAACAGCACTGGAGAAAGGAAAGTCGGGATAGAAGTAATGATGGTGACTGTGCTGGCTGCACTTCCGCCCAGAGCTCTAACTTGAGCTGCAAAGACCAGTCAGAATTCGACATCTGTTGGAGGACATGTGATCTGACTAAGGAAGCCAGGCTTGTCTCCATATAGGGTCACTAGAATGTCTTCCCATCTACTTATAACCCTTACTGAATGTGTCCTTTTCATACCTGCAGTGTCCCTTATTGTTTGCAAACTTGCTGATAACCCATGGAACTGCAGTCCTATGACAGCTGCTTTCAGAGCTGCACTGCAGCCTAGTGGTAGGAACAGTTTAAAAGGCTTACACGTTCTTTTGGAAAAGTCCTGCTCATTTGAGCTGCTGGGAAGGAGCTGAACAGAACAGATAGCCAAGAAACTCCCAAGAGGTAGGTGTGCAGCTCAGAGGTCATGAGTTCCACCCACACCGTCTTGGAGTGATAACTGTTGGTAAAGATGAAGAGGCCACAGCTCCTAAAGAATGCACTGTAGGTAAAAGCTGCCAAAACAGAAGTCTGAACATTGATCCAGAGAAATAAGCTTGCAGCAGACTCAAACAGACTCATTCTTGTCATGAAAATGTTAGGTCCAGTAAAAGGGAATTCTAAATTTCTTTTCTGTTTGTTTCTCCATCTTATTGTTTTCTTCTATAACTTAGGTTTAGTTTTTATGATCTGGTCTCAGAAGGAAGAATCGACTCATTTAATTGTGAAAAAATTCAAGTCATGTCACAAAGAACTAACTTCTGCAGTAAAAGATTGTCCTACAAGCCTGTACCAAAAAAACGAGAGAAAAAGAAGAAAAGAAGATATGAGGAAAGGATTCATTAGAAATTTAGATAAATCTTAAAAATTTAAATGAGTCGTTCAGAGCAAGACCTAGTAGCATAGGCCTATAATTCAAGCTATTTGGGAGGCCAGGGCAGAAAGGTTCAAGGCCTTCCAAGATACCTTAATGATACTTGGCTCAAAATATTTTTTAAGATTATTTTAAATGGTGGTATGGTTCAGTGGTAGAGTACTTGACTTGCATGAGCAAGGCTCAGGAGTAGAGCTTCACCTCGTACCAGCTCTACTCCTGAAGTAACATTGAAACTATACTGGGTTTTGGTGTTCACAATGCAACTGGCAAGAATCCAGGAGTTGACCACGTGTTGTTTTGGAGCTTATAGACCACAGGCTTCTCAATACATTGCTAGCAGAAATGTAAATTGATGCAACCCGATAGAGGTCACGTTAGTTGTTTCTACCAAAATATCAAGTGAATGTAACTTTACACCTAGAACTTTAGAATTTATAATACAGATACATTTTTACTTATGAGACATGTCTATTGTGCTAGCTTGTAGTGAGAAAAGAGTAGAAATTTGTCAAGAATGAGCTGGAAAAATTATGTGTTCTGGGAGGACCTACATTACTTTACCATAAAGATGTGAGATCCTTTGACCACTATGAAGAATGTAGAGCTGGACATGGTTGTAATTCCAGCACTCACCTCAGACTCTCTATGTGGCCCGCTAAATAGAGTGGACAAAGTGCAGAGTGGTGTGCATAGCGCACCCACTGAGCTGGGCAGGCTGGTCCAGTGGCCGGGACTACAGGGAGCTTTGCCATCCCCGGAAAGCTGCTGTCTTAAAGCACGAGCAGCAGCCGGTGCCTGCCCACTCTCTTCAGTTCTGATCTACTTCTAGGATAACGTCTTTATACTGTGCACACAACAGAAAGTGTCCTGTTACAGTCTTCTGGGTGGCTGTCCTTGTGAAAAAATTTTATAGCGTCAGCCTGATTTTCACTGTGACTTTGGTATGCCGTTGTATGTCCAGTAAAGATGACTTGCTTTGAGAACACATAGAGTAAAACTCCTATTTCCATTACTTGTATGTTTCAGGGACAGACGTTTGCTTCAACCTGCGCAGGTGTGTGACATTTTGAAGGGTGTCATCTTGATAATGTGCTATTTTATGATGCACTATGTTGACTACTCCATGATGTACCACCTGATAAGAGGGCAGTCTGTCATCAAGCTCTACATCATCTACAACATGCTGGAGGTGAGGCCGCTTGCTGCCTGCGCACTGGCCGCAGTCTAGCAGTGTAGAGGGAGTGGGGAGAAGAGCTTGCTGTAGCTTCTGGCAAAGGGGCTTCATCACCTGAGGGTCTTGGGAGCTAAGCTTTTATGGAGGTGACGCCTGATACACTGGTCCTGGATCAGTGAAGGGAGCAGCTCCTCAAAGACAGGTGTTTCCTCCAGGTAAAGGCAAGATTCCCACTGCACAGTTCTGAGAACGCATGCTGTCACACTGCACATTCATTGGAAACCCCCTTGCCTAGTGGGGTTTTTGTTGTTGTCTTTTGTTACAAGTAACTTTAAGTGACTGTTAATTATGAGCTTGGTATACTAAATGTAAATTGCTTTGAACTTTTTAGTTTAAGTTTCTCAATTTTTTTAAGTTTTTATTTTTTTTTGTTTTGTGTTTGCTTTTTGTTTGTTTGGTTTTGTTTTTTACAAATGGCTAATTTGACAAGGCCAATTCTGAGTCCCCCCGTGTATTGAGTACTCGGCTGAGCCAGGAGTATGTAGAGGAAGTGATAAGCTTTGCTCTTTTTCAGCTTTCCATCCAGAACTGTAAAACTCAGGTTTCTAATGATGGATTTTCAGCTGATTGCTGGCAAAGTACTTAAATGAGCAGTTAAAAAACTTTCCCACAATTTCTCTCTGCAGGTAGCTGACCGTCTGTTCTCCTCGTTTGGACAAGATATCTTAGATGCTCTCTACTGGACAGCCACAGAGCCTAAAGAAAGAAAAAGAGCACACATCGGAGTTATCCCTCACTTTTTCATGGCTGTTCTCTATGTCTGTATCCTTTTTGACTTAGTGGACATTTCAGCCACCAGCGTGATTCTACCCTATTTTATTTCTTTACCTATCCCTGCTTGAAATGGTGTGTATGTGAAGATTAAAATGAAATCCCTGATTCCTTTTGAAAAATTGGTTGTAATATCCATTGTAAATTAGTTTAAGGCCTTCTGCATGCCCAACTGCTTTTTCCTGTGATTGGTTGATTATGGGAGATGTCTCTCTATAGCTGTGTGACTCTTATGCTTAACAGCTTTCTTTAAGTTTGTGATTTGCATGATATAGTTATGGAGGTTTTGTATGTGTCTGTGTGTGCATATTGTCTTTTCAAGTATTTCTTTTGGAAAACAAGTACTTTCCCATATTTGTGTGTGCCTGTACATGTGTGCATACTTGTACTTGTGTTTACCCTCACATAGATTCACATACACATGCATGTCTGTGAAACCTGTACTCACTCACAGGACTCTATCATATCTTTCCCCACTGTCAGTGACACTTTGAAGAAATTAATACATGGGTACAAAATGGGACAAAGCTTGTTCCCATTTTAGTGGAACAAAGGTAAATTATTCCCATGTGCAATATGATATAATTCTGCATAACATGAAGAACAATCTAAGACATTTCTTACCATTTTAATCTTCTGTATCATTTGAGTAACCAATGAAAAGCTATTCAGCACTAACTCTGTGTTCACTTTTAAAACTTTGAATTATAATTCAGATTTATATCTCTTCATCTCTTCTCTCTTCGCTTACCATGATTTCTTCCATTTATTTAACACCTTTTTGAAGGTTTACTTCTTCTTAGGTACTATGCCAGGCACCAGGGGTTCAGTTTTATATAGTGAATGTACAGGTTTCCTCTGCTTCTGTTTGTTTCACATGGAGAATATTTACTTTATCAAATCTATGCCAAATAGATAACAGGAAAATTGTGACATGATAAGAAAATATTAGTCAGATTTGATTTAGAAGATAAGATCATTTCTCCCATTTTTGATAGTGTGTTAATAATTCTGAAAACATGTTTTTTCCTTGACTTACTGTTAGTTCTACATGCAATTCTCATAATGGTTCAAGCAACGACACTCAATGTGGCTTTCAACTCACACAACAAGTCACTGCTTACTATCATGATGTCCAACAATGTAAGTGCAAAATTCTGCTTTCTATTGTTAGTTAGGAAGGGCGTTCACATGAGCACTGTGCACGAAACCAATTCTTTGCTTGCTCTTATCCTAAGAAGCTTTTTGTGGAGAGAGTTGATTTTACAACTGTTGAAGTGACAAAGACGGTATTTCTGTTGCTATTTCAGTTTGTTGAAATTAAAGGAAGTGTTTTCAAGAAGTTTGAAAAGAACAATCTCTTTCAGATGTCAAATAGTGGTAAGTAGTCAGATTCTGATTGTAGCTCTAATTAACATTTGTTGAAAGTGACTCATTACCATCAACGTTAAATAACATTTTAATGAAAATTAATTGTATTTTAAAATAATTTTTAAAGTTTTAAAAATTGTATTTTCTAAAACAGATCCGTATTTAGTGCGGTATTTTTCACCTAGTGGTGTTAACATCTGGATAAATATCAAATGAAGGAACTTTGACCTCTGTCCTCCTCCAAACAAGTTAATTCAAAATGTTTTGTTGCCATTAGTATAAGTGCTACATCTTAAAGTTTCTGAAATAAAATATGGGAGACTATATCCACAAGTATAGGGGAATATTTTTAGAGACTGCGCAAATAAATTAGTAACCATCAGGACAATATAAAAGTTGAATTTCAAAATTTAAAATATATATGCTGATTAAAAATGAAAAGACAGGGACTGAAGAGATGGCTTAAAGCTTAAGAGCACTGGCTGCTCTTTCAGAGGACCTGTGTCTGTAACTCCAGTCCCAGAAGAGCCAACACCCGTTCTGGTCTCCCCAGGCACTGAAAGTACGTGGAGCACAGATGTACCCATACGCAAAACACCCAGGCACACAAAATGAAAATGAAGGAAAAGCATTTTTTTTTAAATGAAAAGGCATATCACATTTATGTTAAGAGAAAAAGGTTGAGGTTATGTATATCGGAAAAAGGACTTTATTATCCCTGAATATGTATTGCAAATTCTGCCAATTAATTATGAAAGAGTGATCTGATTTAGAGGAGCAAAAGACTTAGATTTTGAAAATGAAAATTTTCGAATGGCCAGTATGTTCTCACAAATGTTCCTAGCATTGTTAGGGAAAATATCACTGGGAAAATACAAAGGAAAATCAAATGAGACGTTACCACATGGCCACGAGAATGCTCTTGTAGGCTGCCAGTGCCCTATCGTGGCAAGACAGGCACTAACTGGCTCTCGTGCCTTGATGGTGAGTGTGAGTATAAACATTGCAACAACTCTGGAAAGCTTTGGAACAACTTCCGCCTCAGTGTCCACACTCCCTGTAATTCAGCACTGGGAGTTAGTTTGGCAACTCTACTCTTAAGAGTAGCCCCAAAATGGAAATGACCCAGGATCAACCAAAACATAAATAAATGGTCGTTCATACAAACCGTGTAATACTACTCAGCAAGTAATGGAAATGAAGGCTGGAAATAGCCTGGTTGCTAAAGTGCTTTGCCACCCTGACCTGAGAGCACTTATAACTCTGGGTGAGGGGCATACGCTTTTAATCTTAGCCTTGGGGAAGAAGACAGGTGGATCCCTGAGGCTCCTGGCAGCCAACCTGACCTACTCAGTGACCCTCAGCACAGTGAAAGTCCCTTTCGAAAGAGGCGTATAGATCCTTAGCAAAACCACCTCTGGCCTCCATAAACTATACAAACTTCAGCACATTCACATAATGCCAAACAAATTAAATAAAAATAAAGGAAAAATGAATTACTGATATAGCCTACTATGTACACCTCTAGCATTGTGTTCATCAACAAACACCAGCCTCAAAAAGTGTGATTTAATTTTATTTTTCTGAGGTCTGCAATCAGACAGAATTAATTTATGATGACAGAAATGAGAGTGGTTACTTGTTGGGGATGGGACATGACTGGAGGAAGGGTCAAAGGAACTTTCTTGATGGTAGAACTCTTCCGTTTCTAGTTAAAGGGGCACCAGACGTTACCAACCTATGTACTCAAGATCTGTGCATTTCATTGTATGGAAATTAATGACAAAAATAAAGATGGATGAATAAATTAAAGCAAACAGCTTAGAATTGTAAATTTGAAAACTTTTCAAAGAATAAAAGAACAAATGAGAAATTAGTAAGGTCTAGACAATTCTGTGGGGCTGTCCATGATGGGTCATTAGACAGTTCTGTGGGGCTATCAATGATGGGTCTGAAAGCTCTGAGCCACAGTGGCATTTATAGATTTTACTTCACTAGGAAAACCCCTTTTTAAAGCTTTGAGATATGTTTTAGCAGAGCTCACAGTTTATGTAAATAAAGCCTTTACTTCAAGATGCATGTAAAACATTAAAATATAAAAAAGTAGAAAGTACCAGAATAAAACTTCTTTTTAATATTCCAGGGTTTCATTTCATACTTAGGTTGATAGATTTTTGAAGTAAAAATTTAATTTTTATTTTGTCAACTTTTCTTACTATTTAAAATTGCCATTTTTCATATTACAAACTAGTATTTACCCATCAAAAATGGTTGATTTTTATTCATTTTTTCATATTTTGGATCACTGTCTTCTGAACTGTTTTTCTCAAGAGTACCTGAACAGAGTTTTTTCCTCTCCCATCAGTGCCCTTCCAGCTGACATGGCTGTGAGTGTTGTATGTTGTAGCTTCTATGTGCGAGAGTTGGATACAAGCTTAAATACTGCTATCATTCTGGCTCCATTATCTCAGCAACCCAGTTGTCTTGCTTCAAATGATATGTGCTCAGTTTCCTTGCAGATAATTGGGTTAAGAACCAAGTTTGTCTTATAGAGCCATTCTTAGTAGTACGGTTAAAATGAGTACATTTCTTTAACTTTGTGAATGAAAATTAGAAGTCAGCACACATACAGAGACAGATTTGTGAATAGCTATATAAAATTCCAGTTAAAGGTACATTAAGAAAAGCACCCCCACAAATTCAGATCCATTTCTAATGAAGCACAGAGAGTATGTTCTCCCCTTGGACTGACTTTGCTAGGCACTATGCTAGGACAGACTTTAAGGTGCAGCCCCTTTGAGACCACGTGAGAGCGTGTGCACGGATGTTGTGGAGCTACTCAGAACATGCACTTGAAAATCTCACATGCTTTTCCAGTTTTAGTATGCATTTCAAAGGGGGTGTATCTGTACTCCACACCTCAAAACTCATTGCTGTATCTACCATACAAATGGTATTGTGTAAGGATTTATAGACTGGTTTCACAGATAGCACAGCATTTGTGTCCACAAGGGGTTAAAGGCCCAGTTCAGACCCACAAATGAGAAGCTTGGCAGATCTGGAAAGGCAGGTACCGGCTCTGACTGGAAGAGTTCAAGAACTTAGGGAAGGCACAGACAGTAAAGGTAGCTCACCTGAGAGGATTTGCAGTGGAGGGAAAGTCCAGTCGTGTTGTAGAGCAGCAGCAGTGGGAAATGGTGAGGCAAGGACAATCCTTAGAGGACACTGAGGTGACAATGAGATGCATGGTGCTGGCAGGCGGTGCCACAGTCAGGTGGTATGGAAGCTATGCTGTGTGAGTGAGAGTCCTAAGCACAGCTCCCAGGCACACAGAGACACACATATGGTTCACACTCACTGTCACACGTATTTATTTCTTGACTCCTAGAAGAAAGTAACAGCTGAAAAAAAAATAAATATATAAACTGTCTCTGGCAAGAATTCAATTCTTGGTTTTCACTGGATTCGTTCCAATTAATTGGCTAGTTATTAACTTAGGGCAAACACCTCTGTGAAACCTGCATAAACACACACACAAAAGAAATTCTCTGCATACCACCGAGCAGTGCTGCTACAATGCCAGCATTCTCTTAAGTAGGAAATTGCATACACATTCACTACCAGGTTAGATATTTCCTGGAAGCACACAAAGTCTTGTATTTTATTCTGTGATTCTATTTTCCTTCTATAAAATGAAAACACTTGTCATGTATTCCCAAAGACGGTTGGAGGCATTTTTTTTTTAGAAAGTAATTTTATTAAATTATAAAAGTTTCCATTTCCGCCCCTCCTCCCAACACCCTCCCACTCTCCCCACTCCCTCTCCTCCTCCCTCTCCATCCCTAAGAGCAGTCAGGGTTTCCTGCCCTGTGGGAAGTTCAAGTTCCTCCCTCTTCCCTCCAGGTCCAGGAAGGTGAGTATCCGAACAGACTGGATCCCCAAAATCCACAGTATATGCAGAGGAAACAAGTCCCAGTGTCATTGTCAATGGCTTTTCAGAAAGAGTCCAGGCCAGCCACATTCAGAGAATCCGGCCACATTCAGAGAATCTGGTTGGATCACGTGCTCCTTCAGTCCCAGTCCAACTGGCCTTGGTGAACTCTCATTAGATCAGTCCCCTTGTATCAGTGGGTGATCGCATCCCTCGCAGTCCTTATTTACTTTTTCATTTTCTTCCTGGTTGGAGGCATTTAATGACCCAATTTGAACATTTTAATTTTTTAAAATTTCCATACTAGAAATATGTTGGGAAACGAAGTAATGATTTGCACGGATTGGGGATATGTGCACATGTGTGCACGTGTGTGTGTGCACGCGCGCACACACATTCAGCTGTGAGTCCTCTATGGCTGTAGGAAATTCTAAACAGAAGTCACATTTTGGTTAAACATGTAAAGACTTTCTTGTCACTGTTTCCTACGTAATGTTGTATCATAACAACTTTACACATTGTTCTTAAGTTGTATCAAATATTATTAAGAATGGGGATGACTTTGAGCATATGACAGAAGGTGATGTCCAGATAGATAATGCAGTGTTTTGTTTGAGGGACTTGAACACTGTGAATTTTGGTATCTAAAAGGGAATTCCAGGAGTTCCAAAAAACACTTTATTTTGTAACAAATGTTTTAATAAAATTATTTTAATTATTTCCCTATTTAATATAGTTTAACACTTAATGTTCAATCTCTCCTTTTTTTTTAGATATTAAGGAACGATTCACAAATTATGTACTCTTGCTAATAGTGTGCTTAAGAAACATGGAACAGTTTTCTTGGAATCCAGGTAAGTGCCTCTTGAATCACATATGGTATCCTGTAAAGTTTACTTTTAAAATAAACCAAGGCTGGGTAGTAATGACACATGCCAGAGTGTGGTTACTCTGGTTCCCGTTAAGACTAGAGCCTTTGATCTTCCTTGCATTTATCATTTTTTAAATAGGGGTGAATTGTAGAAATAGAGTAAATCAGCAATTATGTTGCTTATATTCACTCCTGATCCTGGCTGACAAAAAGTTGTCAGAATTGCACAAATATTCACCTGTTTGGTTAGCAGCCAGGCACTGCTATGCCCCATCCGAGACCAGTGGCCCAGCCCTGTGCAGCTTAAAGTGCTAAGAAATGCACAGGACTCACAAGCTGATGGAGTAGAAGGTGATTGCAGTGCAAAACTTGCTCAGATAGCTCAGATCAAGCTATCTTGTCAAGCTTTTTTTCTTCATGTACAGTTTGTTCTTAATTGAACAGGCAGTGTTTCATATTTCTTGTATTGCTTCCAACATTATGGATGTCCTAAGCCTCTGAAAGAAGCCCTTGCTTTTTTACATGACCTATGCCCTGTTTTCGGGGACATTTAAGATTCAGGACCACATATAAAGTGATACTGAGTTTGGAAATACATTTCCAGAGGTTACCTTCTTACAGTTAGGTCAAGTCGTAGGTCTTAGCAAGTTCTAATCTGAATAGATTCAAAGGCCATTTGATTTACAGTGGGAAAGCCCCTCATGCAAAACACCGGACTCTGAGTTATCTACATGCTGTTATCTACATGCTTTCAAAAATGTGTGCTCACATGTCCTCACTCATGCATGGTGTACAAATGCTCACTTGCACACTCATGCAGTTAGAGAACAGCTTGTGACAGTCACTTTACTCCTTCCACAGTGGCAATTCTTGGGCATGAACTCAGGTCAGGCTTAGCAAATTCCTTTACCCACTGAGCCATTTCTCTGGTCCCTACCTAGATGCTTTTGGTGCATAGTGTTTACAAAATCATCACAGTTACCACAAAAGACAGTGTCTATGTGTGGCTGGCCCTGGGAGCCCAGATGGAATCATTCCCAAAGGAACAGAATTGTTATGTCAAAGGAAGGCCAGAGCCGTCTGACGACTGAATGTGTGAATTCCTATAATCATACTTTAAGTCTCCTTTATCTCCACTGTGCAGTGACAAACCAACACCATGCTTTAATGATTTTAGTTTTAGACTTTGTGCTTTGATATTTCTGTTTTTTTTTTAATTCCTTTTTCTTTGTGCCCAGGAATTTCCTTTTCTTTTATTCCTAATAATAAAAATACTGTTTTGTTATGGAAAGCACATTGCTGCATATCAGTACTTCATTTAAATCTTATAGTAATGAAAAGCAAACATTCTGTTATTCTCATTTTGTAGATGAGGAAACTAGAATTTAGTTGCTTAGAAAAATTTGCCCAAGAACGTAACAGGAGATGGCAGCATTTGGTATTAAGAGTTCTAAGAGTCTCATAACTTCCGCAAGTTGCCAGACTCATAAGAACTGCCCTGTGTTGGCCATGTAGGCGGCCCTGCCCTCCAGGAGTCCATGCTGAGTTTCTGTAAGCCCCTGCTAGCATTTCCAAACATCTTTGCTTTATATCTCTTCAGTTATGGTTTGGGGCCTAGGAAGGATGCCTGTGGATGTGTTTATCAGTTATGTAGCACTGAATTGAGGTCTCTTACTATAAAAGTAAGCAGTTAAAGTAAGCGGATATGGTAAGTTTTGTCTATGTGGCTCTGAAATAAATGAACCAGATCTTTAAGTCACAGTGATCAAGGAGGAAAGGGCTTCACCACTTACCCTAGTCATCTCTCCAGTAGGAGGTTTCCTCCTAGGCCAGAGGTTCCGTGGACCCTGGCCTGCGCGTAAAGTGGTGCTAGGATAGTGCAAACTGCTAAACAAGCATTAATTATCCTTTGACTTGGTGTGACTCTGGAATGAAGGCTAGATTAAAGAATGCTAGTTCTCCACTAGTGATTGAAAATACTGCAGTGCTCCCTGGTGGAGGTTCCAGACTGCTGGGAGCTTGAGGTACAGGTTCTTTCTATGAAGAGGTCTAATTAACTGGTTCTTCCCTGCTTTATAGATCATCTTTGGGTCTTGTTTCCTGATGTCTGCATGGTGATCGCATCAGAAATTGCTGTGGATATTGTAAAGCACGCCTTTATCACCAAATTCAATGACATCACTGCAGATGTATGTATTTCTAGCAATTCCTAGTTAATATTCCCTTGACTCCATATTATCATAAAGGTGTAACCTATATTTTATTGTATTTATGAGTTATTAAAATCATATTGGATCTATTTTAAAATAGAAACACCAAAACTTTGATTAATTTGCAAAATATTTCCTATTTAAAATTTTATTTTTTTTTCTCTGAATATAAACAGAGAAATATATACCTAACTCCTAGGAGACAAGCTGTACATTTTACTTCTGAACTCACTTGAGGAAGCTTTAAGGGATTTGCTTTATGTTGTAATCATTTTCTCTAGGATCTGTAGAAATAGTTCTGTGCCTGTAAATCACTGTCCAGATACATGAAGGTGGGAGTGTCGTGGCACAGCCTCAGCCTTAGTTCCACATGGAGAATTGGCTCAACAGCTCTCTTGATTTTCTTGCGTTATATTTTTGACAGCCTATTTATTGTTTACCTCAAAACTGAATGGAGTATCAGTTGCAACATTCTATTTTTGCTTTCTAAATGCTTGAAGCATGTTTCTGTCCTTTCAGCAAAGCAGGAATTAAAAATGAATTCATAATTTTCTCTCTTGGCTTTTTCAATACAGGGTGGTTCTCTTTTCATAGGGTCATTTTCTCAATACCTGAAATTAAAATTAAAGGGTTGATTCATGCCATTTTTAGTGAGAATATAGTTGTGATGCTCCCCAGTAGCTGCTACCATGACTCTGATAAGGTCCAGTCCGTTTCTGTCTCCCTCACTATAATAACTTTTGTTATTATTGTGGTTGAATACACGGTTATAAAACTTATTTTATAAAAACTTATTTTAAGAATTATTTTTTCAATATAGCACTGCTTCAAACAGCCACATCTCTGTAACTTCTAAACTCTGGGAATGATAGTCATTGGCTGCTACTCCTCTTTGAAGCAAATCCTTTAAAAGCCTGTGAATGTAGGAGCTCAGGGCAGCTTAGACTATCTTCCTCAAGCTGTGGGTGTCAGACTGCTCATTAGCATCTTGCATCTGTCCCTGAGCAGTTAGGAAGCATTTTTATCTACAAAGTCTAAACCTATCCACTGTGTATATGTTCTAGACTACATCTTACTTTTTTTCTTATTTGCCTTCAGGTCTACAGTGAATATAGAGCCAGCCTTGCTTTTGACCTTGTTAGCAGCCGGCAGAAAAATGTAAGCATTTCATTAAAATGTTGTCTGAAATTAGCTCCTCAGTAGTTAAATGTACTACAGATAAAACACTTAAACTTGTCTTTTTCTAGACATTGAATAATTTATACAGCAATAACATTGACTACCGTATGTCTGAAACAGTGTAGCAATGATGTAATTTCTTATTTGACATGTGTGGTAATAGTTCAGGTTCCTCCTGCATCCTTCTGCTTAGTTACAGGGCAGGTGCCATGTTCTCTTCTGTTCACACTGCATCTGCTCAGAGTGCTTACTGATTAGCCCACTGACTCCTTTTCACCTTTCTCTGCAGGCATATACAGACTACAGTGACTCCGTAGCACGGAGGATGGGATTTATTCCTCTCCCGCTAGCTGTCTTAGTAAGTTCATGCTTTTATGTTTTCATGATGAGATGGCCATCATCATAAAACATCAGTATGTATTATCAGTAAGTTTGTTTCAATGGGTATTTGTATTTTAAAAAATTATAAGTAACTTGAAAGGGGAGTTTGTCTTAAATTCTAAAATCATTACTCCTTTGGATTTTGAGCTATCTAGCAGAAAAGTGACATCAAGGGACTGCTTATCCAAATAGTTTTCCTAACAATGAGGCTATTCTTTTTTTAATCCATTGAGTAAAGAATTTTCTTCTCTAATGGAGATATACCCAAAAGTGGGCACTTTGCTCTGGCTACTGGAACATGGAGGTGGCAGCACAACTCGTCCTGTTCCTAGAGGGCACTTTGATAGTGAAGTGCTAGATGCCATCCATCTAATGCTGGCAATTTATGCCTAGGAAAGAAATGCAGACTGCAGAGCGTGAGTGGTGAGCAGGTCTGAGCATTGCAGTGTGGTTACACCTTCCGCACTACTGAATCCGGCATCAGAACATGAAAAGACCTGAAGGCATTTGTGTCCAGGTCAACTAACAAGAACCTGAAGTCATAGCAGCTGTATTTAGATTTTATCCAACGTTTTTAGATGGTGGGTGATGATAGGCTTAATGTTAAATTTCAACAACTTAATAGATAACCATATCCTAAACATTGTTATGGTTTTAATTGCTTATGATATAATAAAACAAATTTCTTTTGCTTTTAGAAAAGGAACTCCTAAAATTTTGGAGAAACTCGGATTTCAAAGGTTATTTAGTGAAAGTTAAAGAAATTGAAAAACAATAGCATATCAAATTTTTCTACTTGTATTTCCTGGTATTAGAAAAATCACATATTCAGTCATGAGGGTAAATGTAGCTTGTGCAACTATTTTTTAATAAAAGAATTAGTTAAATAGTAGCAGCCCTTTCTCTGCTAGAGACTGTGGCACAGGTAAGGGTTCCATGGTGCTTTTCTCACAGTGAAACTTGATTGAACACATGACAGTCCAGTCTCATATCTCATTCCTGTTGTACTTTTTATTGCTAACATCTTAATTATATTTAAGGCATCACAATAGCATCTTAGATTACCGGGGGAGGCCAGTTGTCTCTGCTTCACTTCCATGTAGCCACTCCCAGGACCTGTACCTGTAATATGTAAATGTTTTCTCTCAGCTGCTCCCACCACATTCATTCAACAGGCTCCAGGGATAATACTTCAGTTGCATAAGAAACTAAGTGTTAGCCGTAACACTTAGCCAAGGAGACAGAGCTTCATGGCTTTTAAGTAATTGTGTGCTTAATTTCCTAAATAGTGTAAGTCTTCCTTTGCCCTATGTAACATGAAGGCCGGCTTGTTGGGGTATCTGTCCCGCCCAGTACCCCACAACCGGCAAGCCCAAAGAAAAAATAGCACAGAGTCTACATTAGGTTATAAACTGATTGGCCCATTAGGTCAGGCTACTTATTAGCTCTTATAACTTATGTTACCCCATTATCCTTATCTATGTTAGCCACATGGGCTCAGTACCTTTCTCAGTGTGACAGCTTACATGTTGCCTCTTTGGTGTTCTGCTCAGGAGTGGCGGAGGGAGTTTCCTCCTCCCTAGCCTTATCCTAGTCTCATTGCCCCGCCTCTACTTCCTGTCTGGTTGACCCGCCTATACTTCCTGCCTGGCCAATCAGCGTTTTATTAAAATACATGATTGACAGAATACAGATAATTCTCCCGCACCAGCCCTATAGTCCCTACAAGTTATTGGGTGCTCTTAAAGAATTTGAACAACGGACAGGAAAAAAGCAGGAATGAGAAAAATGTCCAACCAGTATTTTCTCCTCCAACAAGCATTAGATGAGCTTTGACAGACAGACCTTATGGGTTGAGTTTCCCACAGCTCTGTTAGGTGTAAGCAAAAGCACGGTCAGTGAAGTAGGCCATGTGAGGCCCTGAGTGTCTGTGGCAGCTGCACTGCATGCTGGGTTTGCCTGTGTAAACCCATGCCACCACAGATGCCATAGGAGGCCTATTGCCAATGAATTGGGAAATCTAGACCCAAGCCCTTCGACCTAGATGCAAGTATACTCTAAAATATTAAAATAAGGAAGAAAAGGCAGTTTTAAAATATTAACTAATCACTCTATTGTTGTGTTTTGGTTTGTTTCTGGCTAGCTCATCAGAGTTGTAACAAGCTCAATTAAAGTGCAAGGAATCCTGTCGTATGCCTGTGTCATACTCTTCTATTTTGGGTAAGATTGACTATTCTTGAATATGTTTCAATTTTACAGAAAACTATGTATAACTGTAAGATGTAATAGAAGCTAATTGCATCCAAAAGTATTTTTTCTATTCTATGTACTTAAGATTAAATCTTTAACCAGAGTTTACAGTAAGGTCTTTTTGTTCAAGATCTATATTCTACCCATACTTTATTTGGTGGGGGGTGGGAGAAAAGGGGCTTTCATTGTGTTAGTTTTTCCATATTCATAAACACCTTTGATTTTTCTGTGTGCTTGCCAAGCTTAATATTCAGCACACTGGACCTGTGCCCCATCAACCTAATAATGTCAACTGAACCTTTTGCCAATTTGTTGATCCCAACTAGCTTAACATTTCTGGTTGGGAAACACAAGCAGGAAGTAAACAATTTAATTTATAATAACCATAAATGTCAAATATTACTTTGCCATTGTTCAATTTTTCAAGAAGTGAACTAAAATAAAGAGCCCGCCTGAGTTCTAAGACTTTGCCCAAAAAGAAATCTGGGAAATCCACAGCTGAGCTGGCCTATGTGGGGTGCATGGGCATGAGTGTTGCAAAGTGCCTGCCGGTGGGAGCGTGCAGCCCTGAGGACCTCCAGAGGAGAAGGTGGTGCGCAGATGAGCAGAGCAGGAAGTCTGATTTCAAAGGCATCACCAGCCTCATGTTTGAGTGTTTTGGTGTGTGTGTGTGTGTGTGTGTGTGTGTGTGTGTGTGTGTGTGTGTATTCTGCTTTCTTCATATAATGCCTGGCTCATGGCAAGCCCCCACATACTGTTTGGAACATGACAGGTACCCAAGACTGTCCAACAGATCAGACATGGTCACTCCTGTGGGCTGCACATGAGATCCCTAACTCATTGCAAGTCACGAGTGCTTCCCAGCCCCTGTCTTAGCCCTCCTCCTCCAGAGCTGTGTCTGGGTGACTGCTGGCTGTGACACCAGGGTGTGACTGAGTGCTGTGGTTACAGGTGTGTACCATGGTTTATGCTGTGATGGACATTGAACTCAGGGCCTTGTGCGTGCTGAGTATATGCTCTGCTAACTGAACTACATCTCCACCCCACACCTTTTTATTGTTTTTGAGACAGGATCTCACTTAACCCAGGCTGGCCTTGAGCTCGCTATGTACCAAAGGCTGGTTTTGAACTCCTGATCTCCTTCCTCTGCCTCCTGAGTGCTGGGATTACTGGCAACATGCCACCATGTCCAGCTCTCTTAAATTGTTGGACACTAAGGTTTTACATGAAATTATGCAATATTAGAAATTTTACTGTATACTTCCTTTTCCAGGTAAGAGTTAAAACTCCTATTCCAGAAAATTGACTGTTATTCTCATGTTCTGGACTCTTCCCATCTTTTTCTGCATTTCCCCTGAGCTGCTTCCTCGTTTGGCTGTAGTCATACTTGCCTTTTCTCTCCTCTCTTCTTTTACTAATATGCCAGAGGTGTTCCAAATGCACACCAAAGACAATTTGAAAACTTGAAGCTATTGGAGCTATGTGCTATTTTTGAGGATTGATATTTAAGGAGGTTTCATTGTACTTAGACTACATTACAATAGATGCTAAAATATTTCTTAAAAATAGAAAAACTCATGACGCTCCTTCTGTAGTGCAGGTTCCCACATCCTGCCTTTGGTGATCTTAGCGTGGTTCCCTATTCCTACTCACGTTCTTCTTTGTTTAAAGATAATTGCTCTCATAGTTTGACAATAAATCAGGACAGTGGAACTTAAATATAGCATACTTGAAAACTTGTCATGCGCCAGCTAGGATGTGAGACCAGGAAGATACACAGAACACTCAAACATGAGGCTGGTGATGCCTTTGAAATCAGACTTCCTGCTCTGCTTATCTGCGCACCACCTTCTCCTCTGGAGGTCCTCAGGGCTGCACGCTCCCACCGGCAGGCACTTTGCAACACTCATGCCCATGCACCCCACATAGGCCAGCTCAGCTGTGGATTTCCCGGGTTTCTGTGGAGGGGGAAGATGGAGAGTGACAGCAGGACAGCTGGGGCTGTGACCACGGCAGGGAGTCCAGGGCATAGCCTAGAGGGTGTCCTTGACCCAGGGAGTCCAGGGCATAGCCTAGAGGGTGGACTTGAAGAAGGTGCATGGCAGAGGGGGGAGAGCTCCAGATTTTCTCAAGAGGGTTTTTTGCAAGAACCATTCAATGCCTATGTGGAGGATGGGCTGGAGTGTAGCAAGAAAGTCAGGAAGCAATGGCACCACCAGGAAAAGGTGAGCAAGGCTGAAATGGAAGTGCTGGCAGTGGAAGGGTTAACACTTGTCTGTTGGATGCACGTTGCTTGTACATGAAATATAAAGCAACGACTTCAGGTGTCGTTATAGAACCTGGGGTTAAGCAGGGAAGGTAATAGAATTATCACTTACTGTGATTGAAGCTTGTGGCAGAAGCAACATATAGGGGTGGAGAGATGAGGGCCTGCTGAAAGGGTGACTAGAATCTGGAATTGGGGTTGGTTTGGCAAATATGGAATTTTCTTAGGCAGAACCACAGAAACGACGGGGGGAGTGACGGTATGGTGTGTGGAGTCCTGCAACTGGCAGTGAATTTGCACCTGTGGGGCCATGAGCTGACTGTGCTGTGTTCTGAGATCCCGAGTGTAAGGCCTGAGGACCAAGCAGGAGTCCTCATCTCTTTTGTGCATTGACTCATGTGCATGTTGAGCCACTGATGGTTCTCACTGGCTTGTAATTCCGTGGTACTGACAGTGTTTTGTCTTGGGCAGAAAAACAGCAGCTTACAGCTAAAGCTGTCAGTCACAGCCACAGTGTGTGAGAAGATGGGAATGAGATACTGCAGTCTCTAAATCGTTTTACCAGAATTATAGTAGGCGTTTTAAAATATTAGTTTTTGACCAAAACCTTCCATGTCTGTAATTATAGGTGTTAGCCAGTTATTTTAATAAAGTACAGGTTTAAGCTAACTTTTCTTAATTACCAACTTTTTAATAGAAGCAAAATGTTAGAAATAATCCATATATCCAGAAATGGGAGCTGTTACCAGTGTGTTTGTTATGTAGCCCATACCACAAAGCATTCTTAAGATCACATAGGAGCATTAACCGACATGGAAGAATGTTTGTATGTGTGTATGTATGTAGTGTGTGTGTATGTATGTAGTGTGTGTGTATGTGTGTGTGTTACGTAACAATAGCAGAGTGATAAAGGTGCAGGCTTGCTTTTCATTTCTTTGTGCGGAGCATGGCTCTGAGTCTCTCCCAGTCCTCCTCTTTCTGATCAGCTCTGGAGGATTTTGCCCACATCCATAAAGGACTCCACTCACACACTGCTCCCACTTTGCCTCTACCACAACCTTATAAATAGGCGCCATTTCTGCACAGTGAGGAGGTACAGACAATGTATGCAGAGCAAATGGCTAATAATATACCGGATGCCACATAGGGAATTAAAAATCATCTTTTATTTCTTGCTCACCTGCATCTACCTGTTTCACAGTACAAGAATACATGTTGGCTTATCTATACTAGGAAGAGCTGCTGACTGATAGAATTTCTCAAGAATTAGAATGTATCAGAAGTCTTCCTTTGTGATAAAGCCTTGGGAAACTCAAACTTTGTGCAAGGAACTCACGTTCACCAGCCCAGCTCCCCTCACCCTGTCCTGCATCCCAGAAGCAGGTTAGGAGGTTGGCTTCCACTGATTTAGATGAATTCCCACAACTCTGTTCTCTGTCTAAGGTTGATCTCCCTGAAAGTACTTAACAGCATTGTGCTGTTGGGCAAGTCATGTCAATATGTGAAGGAAGCCAAGATGGAAGAGAAGCTGTTTAATCCTCCCCCAGCCAGCACTCCCAGCAAACCCTCCAGTAAATCCCAGAACAAGGGCAAGTCCTCTCAAGGTACGTTGGTGTCAGAGGTCATCAGAATTCTCCTGAGTGAATCACTGCTCAGCCGAGGCTAAGTGGTTGTAGAGACACGCTTCATTCCGCGTCACTGTTGGGTCCTGTAAAAGTTCTAGTCTAGGACAGATATCCCTGGCCCAGCGCTGTTTCTCATTGGCTAACCCACTGTTCTGGTGGTGGTTATTCAGCACCTATTACATGTCAACACACGGGAAATGCCCTGTGCCTGCTCTGGTGAACTGGATCTGACTAGTGGGAGGAGGGAAGAACAACAGTAGGTAGAGCCTGTGTCAGGCACAGTGATTGCAGTCAGGAATGGGAAGCACTGCAGACACAGCCAGTGAAAGACTTCGGTGTTCAGAGGATAGCACAAGCCCTGTGGCTGCTGTGCTGGTCAGGGCTGACTTGGTCTGAGACCTAGGAGGACCGTACCTCCCCATACCACAGGGCCCTGTCACTCTCGCAAGGCCCTTGACTTAGACTTGAAAGGGAGAGGAGGCCAGTGCATCCAGACAGCACCCAGCCGTGCTAGAGAGTATAAAGCTTGATCCAGAGAAAGTAAAGGAGACCAGCTGGTGCAGGGTCTGAAGCAAGGTCATGTTCCTGTGTGTTTTCTCAAGCTAAAGTGGAAGCTCAAGTTTTAGATTGTACGTCGCTGTAAGACACTGAGCTCTGTCAGTGATGCGAAGATGCAGGTGCATCAGCCTGGGTTCTCTTACTTACATCGAGAAGTTAGTAATGTCCTTACTTTCGAGAGGGCCAGTCTAATGGAGGATGGCCATCAGACGAGGGGTCATGTCGTGTCACATGAAGTACACAGAAGAGGAGTGTCTGTGAAGGGTGCCCTAGAGGTCAACAGACTACAAGCTAGAGATGGTCCAGGGGTTGTTGAACTCAGGCTCTGAAGAGGGGTGGAAGTCAACCCTGAAGACAGGCTTAGCTCTTCATCTTCTCAGAGTCACAGGAGATGACAAGGTCTCAGCAGGACTGCACACATGGCAGAACTTACCAGGTTGCATCTTAGATAGTGGCAGTTTATCTACAGCTCACTCTAATTTAAAGCTTCCTTAAAAGGATCAAATTGGGCTAGGGAGGGGCATTGAATGGGGTTGAGGATGTTAGCTCAGTGGTTGAACACTTAACCTAGCAAGCATGAAGCCCTGAATCCAGTCCGCAGCACCTGGGAGAAGGAAAGGGGAAGAGGGTAAATTTATAAATCAGAGGTCAGTGGGTCCCAGTCTCGCTCAGCTGCCTCCTAGACCAGGAGGCGGGGGCCTTCCTTCCGATGTGGGCTTTCTGCAGGTGATGATACTGGTCTGAGATGAGCCAGTGTACAGACAAGAGATGGAGCACCGTAGGGTCTACTTAGCCCTTAGTCTGGAGTGAGGAGCAAGTGCTGTTTTCCACTCAAGCAATAGTTCTGTTGATTTGTGGCCATGTAAGAGGGAACTGTAAAGACAGGTGGATCTTTCCAGAATCAGGTGGTAGTATTACCTATGGGTGTATGTAAAATTTTTGATGTATGGACTATGACTAGCCTTTGAACTTTATTATGAATTACAGCTTACACAGTATGCTTTTAGTTTTCATTTGTTTATCTAAGAGGAAAGAAAACAGATACTTTCCATCACCTCTGAAAACATGGTGTTTGATAAGCGTTTTCTGTGGCTGAGTCATCTAATCCATGGATCTGCTTTCTCACAGGCCTTTCCACAGAAGAGAACCTGCCCACTTCCACCACCAGCCAGCCTGTCCATCAGAAAGAAAACATCATACCCTTACTTGTGACCAGCAATTCTGATCAATTTCTGACAACCCCAGATGGCGATGAGAAGGACATAACACAGGAGAACTCTGAATTAAAACACAGATCCTCAAAGAAAGATTTGCTAGAAATAGACAGGTTCACAATCTGTGGGAATCGGATTGACTGAGGTTGTAGCTGATGAGGTGAAGATGCCGGGCCCTGGGACCACAAATGCTGGTCCGCCAGGACACACTTGCTAAAAATGGCACTTAAATATTTATTTAAAAACTTAAATTATTAATGGCAAGCAAATCTTAGTATCTTTCTTCCAGTAATGTGGCCTGACAAAAGGGCAGATCACGGAACAGCGCCGGCTCCTGGCCTCGACTGGAATGCTGGTGGAAGATGAATACTTCCTCCTGCTTGGCCAACAGCAGCGGCACTGCTGGCACCGAGCCAGAGAGCACTGCAGGAGCCCCTTTGTCTCGTCAGCCTGGGCTTCCTGAATGGTGGATTTTCCTCAAGGCCTCTTCAGTATAAGGACATACCTGGGAAACTGTGAAGCTTTTACCGTGGTTATCTTTCTGGCCTCATACAGCTTCACAAACTCTCCAAACTTGACTTCACCTGCCAAAGCACTAAAAAAAAATTATTAAATATAAGTCCAGATAAATGTTCTTACCACCAGAGTCATCCTTGGCAATACATCTGAACTAATAAGCAAAATAAAAGGCTACATAAATACATGGTGAATAACAGCATCTTATAGGAAACAGAGCTGTCCCATTCGTTTACTTCATGAAGGTCATGTGTCATGTGTAGCAGTGTGAGCTGTATGGTAACTAATGACAGTGACACAGTAAAAGGCAGTCTGTAATGCACGCACAGAGCAGTGTCACCTGTGAGGTGCAGTTACCCGCTTTCATTTTAAAGCTGCATCAGTTATTGCAAGCTAAAAGATTTGGTGGTGAATTGGCTGAAAAGCTGTTGATACACAAAATCAAAGTGGTTCCTATCAACGGGCCAGTTTGTTGGTTTTTGTTTTGAGTAACATTTTTATTTGGTTTTTTCGAGACAAGGTTTCTCTGTGTAGCTTTGGAACCTGTCCTGGAACTAGCTCTTGTAGACCAGGCTGGCCTTGAACTCACAGAGATTCCCCTGCCTCTGCCTCCTCAGTACTGGGATTAAAGGTGTGCGCCACCACTGCCTGGTTGAGTGACATTTTTAAAGTATTCACAATGGGTGGAGCAGCATCACCTTGCCAGGCTCGTAGAATGCATGTGTCCTTCCATGGCTCTGTGTTCTATCAGGGAAGGGGGTGGTGGGTGCCTTTGCTGGGACAGTGCCTCACAAGACTATAAAGGGTACTGGGATAGGAGAGGGTACTACACTGTGGACACTGAGAATAGCAACCAAAAGGTGCTTTGGGGTTTTTGTTTGAAATGAAGATGCTGTTCCTCCTTCATTATTTGTTGGTGTCATCCAAGGGCAAGTTTCCACCACCCCATTTTTATCTTGAGAACCTTTACTGCACTTCTCTTAAAAAGAAAATTGACCACTTCTGCTTTCTGAACTGTCTAGAAGATGGTACTCTTAACTGCATTTCCTTTGCTGTCTCACTTGTGAAACTGCTCTCATACAAACATTTCAGGCACAGATGGCAAGTTTTAGATGGTTTGCCTGTATCTTGGATAAATATAAAACTAGTTTTGATGCTTTGGCTTATGCATTTAAAATACAGGAGGGTTTCTAATGATTTGCACTAACAGAATCTAAAGATAGCTGTTGGAGATGTTATACATGCCTTGTAAAGCCAGGAAGCAGTTTTAAGTTTAAAATGTTTTGTCGTTCTTTTGTGTGTGTTTCAGTGGGGCCCCACTTTTAAAATATTCTTTTTCTATCAAGAAAGTGTCCATTGCAACTAGCAGCAGTGTGGAGAAAGCTTTGCCAAATGCAGCCCTGATCAGAACAAGAACATGGCCTTCATGTATCTTTCATTTCCGCTTGGATTTTGTGTTTCTGTGTTTTTTTCTGAAGAATGCATTTCCTTTGCAGATGCTGTTCGGAGTGTGGATGATACTCACTTCTGTCATAATGGCATTCAGTACTAATTTTATAAGTGCATCTTGTGTGAAACTCAATAAATTCAATTTTGTAATCTTTTTTAAAAAGGTCGCTGAATTTCTTTTAGTAACTATTACTATTGTATTTGATAGAATGGGTGTCTCATTGTGTAGAACTTATTTCTAGTTTATAAATACTAGAGCTGTATTGATTATGTTTAGTTACTCTTGTCCTAAATGATAAAAAAAAAAAAGTTGTGTTTTTGAACTTTTGAAAGGATGGGCTGCATGTTGGTCATAGACCATTAGTATCTCTTCTTACATGAAGATGTTTACATTTGACAGGGATCCTAATGTTACAGTGTCAGCATGTACTTGTGTTATATGGGAATCACATTCAAGATGATACTTTGGTTTTTAAATAGTCTAGTTAAGGTGCAACATATTTCAGACCCATTTTAGCTTTTCCTGTAGATCAAAGTACTAAATGCTATTGATGAATTTACCCTGGCTCCCTGTGGACTTGTGCCAGTTTTTGAAAGAAGCATGCTAGAATTGGCTCCTCAGCATCTGCCCTACCACATCTGTAGCATGGCCCTACTACATCTGTAGCATCTGCCCTGCCACATCTGTTAGCATCTGCCCTGCCACGTCTGCAGCGTCTGCCCTACCACATCTGTTAGCATCTGCCCTGCTACATATGTTAGCATGTGCCCTACCACAGCTGCAGCGTCCGTCCTACCACATCTGTAGCATCTGCCCTGCCACATCTGCAGTGTCTGCCCTACCACATCTGCAGCGTCCGTCCTACCACATCTGTAGCATCTGCCCTGCCACATCTGCAGTGTCTGCCCTGCCACATCTGAAGCGTCTGCCCTGCCACATCTGAAGCGTCTGCCCTGCCACATCTGTAGCATCTGCCCTACCACATCTGTAGTGTCTGCCCTGCCACATCTGTTAGCATCTGCCCTGCCACATCTGCAGCATCTGCCCTACCACATCTGTAGTATCTGCCCTGCCCTGCCCTGTTAGCTCAACATAGATAAGTTCACGATTGTTTTTAAATTACTGTATTTTCATATGTCTCAGCTCTAGGTTTTTTTTTTTTTTTCCCGCAGTGATTTGCTAGTTATCTCCTATGTCAGAAACTTTTCTGGGCAAGGGATAGCAAGAAACATCAAGGTTTCTGTTTGCTGGGCACAACTGACAAGAGCGTGCCCGCTGGCCACAGCTGCCCAGTGGCCAAGTGCCCTCTCAGGCTTACGGCAGGCCAAGGAGAGCACAGTTCATATTGTGGCATCAGGCTGATCTTTCCCTGTTCTGTCTGCTTAACTTTCCCAGAGCTTTGAAAAAAAAATAAAAAAGGAAAAGGATTTTTTACCACATACTGTTAGTTGACCTGCCAGAACCTGACCTTGCTGCATGCTGTGTAGAGGACTGCAGCCAAACTTCATGGCACCTCATTGTATGAGCCAAGGCAGCTGCAGGAGAAGGGGGTATGCCATTTTCAAGTCAACACCCATAGTACTGTGAGTCACCTGCACATCTGTCCCCTTCCTGCTTGCTGGGACCCAGCAGCTGGTGACTTGCTCCCCACCACAGGTATATTGCACCACACCCCAGAGTGGCAGGGTCATGATGAAGAACCTGAGGCTCAGGATGCCTCTGAAAAGCAAAATTGCCGTTCAGCTTAGAAAACTCTTAAAAGATAAACAAGCTCAGAGTTGTTTTGATTTGCATTTCTCTGATGACTAAGGATGTTGAACATTTCCTAAGTGTCTTTCAGCCGTTTTAGATTCCTCTGTTGAGAGTTCTCTGTTTAGGTCTGTACTCCATTTTTTAAATTGGATTATTTGTTCTTTTGTTGACCAATTTCTTGAGTTCTTTGTATATTTTGGAGATCAGACCTCTGTCTGATGCAGGGTTAGTGAAGATCTTTTCCCATTCTGTAGGCTGTCGTTTTGTCTTGTTGACCATACAAATCAAAACAACTCTAAGATTCCATCTTACACCTGTAAGAATGGCCAAGATCAAAAGCACTGATGACAACTTATGCTGGAGATGTTGTGGGGAAAAAGGAACACTTTTGCATTGCTGGTGGGAATGCAAGCTGGTACAGTCTTTTTAGATATCAGTGTGGCGATTTCTCAGAAAATTAGGAAACAACCTTCCTCAAGACCCAGTAATACCACTTTTGGGTATGTATCCAAAGGATTCTCAATCGTGCCACAAGGACATGTGCTCAACTATGTTCATAGCAGCTTTGTTTGTCATAGCCAGAACCTGGAAACAACCTAAATGTCCCTCGACCAAAGAATGGATAAGGAAAATGTGTTGCATTTACACAATGGATAACTACACAGCAGAAAAAAAAATAACAACAGCTTGAATTTTGCAGGCAAATGGATGGAGCTAGAAAACATTTTGAGTGAGGTAACCCAGACACAGAAAGACAAGTATCACACGTACTCATTCATAAGTGGTTTTTAAACATAAAGAACACCAGCCCACAAATCACAATCCCAGAGAACTTAAATGACAAAGAGGACCCTAAGAAAGGACCATCAATTACTCAGAAGAAATTGGCTTGTGTGATGAGGAGGTTTTAGTGATCCTCAAACATGTTCTTCACAGATAGGGAACTAGGGGTGCCGAACAAGCGAGGCATGACTGGTTTAAACTTCAACAAGAAATGGAAATATAGCCAGGTGGTAGTGGCGCATGCCTTTAATCCCAGCACTCGGGAGGCAAAGGCAGGTAGATTTCTGTGAGCTCGAGACCAGCCTGGTCTACAAGAGCTAATTCCAGGACATGCTCCAAAGCTACAGAGAGAACCCTGTCTTGGGGGTGGGTTCTCTCGGTTGGGGGGAGAAGGAGGAGGAGGAAGAGGAGGAGAAGAAGAAGGAGGAGGAGGAGGAAGAGGAGGAGAAGAAGAAGGAGGAGGAGGAGAAGAAGGAGGAGGAGGAGAAAAGAAGAGGAGGAGGAGAAAGCAAGCAAGCAATGGAAATATGAACAAGGTAGTGAGAGTGAGAGAGATGAGGCTTCTGCAGTCTGGTGAGGCCACACAAGATGTAGAAGTAACGAGAAAGCTGAGTAGGCATCAGTCTGTAGAGTTTTGCTTTGAACACACGCCCTCACCTAGTAGTAAGGAAACCAAGCAGTTTGTGAGGGTTTGCCCGGCTTTCTGTGTCTATTTCCATGTTTGTGTGTTCTGTGTGTGGGTGCCCATGTACTGGTATGCAAACACAAGTGCATCTGTGTGCAAGGCTGAAGTCGATGCCCACTTATTCAATGAGGTGGGGTCTCTCACTGGGCCAGCCAACTACCTGGCATCTCTTGTAAGAGATTAGATTAGGAAAGCAACACAAATTTGCAAGGTGACCAACGTGCAAAGCGGGTAGCTAATTTGTAGCATAATTATTCTGAATAAGTCTATTCCTGTTTTAACCATGTCTACACAGGAGTGTAAATACTGGGAAGATCAGAGATGCCTGCTGTGTTAGAGTTAACCGGGGCAGGGAAATGAAAACAGGGAAACACATGGGCATCAGTTTCCTAGTTCCTTTGAGGTGTGCAAATGAAAAGGTTGTGCTGTATGCTGGCGAGCAGATCTTGTGCAGTGGGCGTGGGAGGTACCAGCTAGATGTACACAATAACAAGTGTTACTGTCTCACTGGCACGGGTCACAGGAGACCAGCTTCTTCAGACAGGCCCCGCCCCATTCAGCGCTGCAGCCCTCGCACACTCGGCTCCTGACACAGGCAGCGAGTATTTATTGTGAGAACTCGGGAGCCAGATGTGTGCTTGAAAAAATAGGACTTAGGGCGAGGGAGGGGCTGGCAAGGCAGTTGTCACTGAAGGTGGAGGAGCATGCAGGATGTC